CTTACTCAGTGGAACACCTGTGTGAGTCCAAAATTGTAATACATGTGTTCCTTTCAACTATTCAATGCAGAGAGTCCATCTTAACAGAGCACTCTCTATATTAAGAAACAAAATGTGGGTCCCGCAGGTGGCATGGGAGTTAAGGTGCTGGACTCTCACATGCCAAATATGGTTTGAGTACCAGACCTGGCAACTTGCTTTCTCATCCCCCCCGCCCCTCTGGTGAGTGCACATGCCCTATAGCAAATTTTAAAAATGATAACAATAAATAAAATTAAAAAATATTGGGTCATCGGAAAAGTCATGATGCATTTTTGCATAGAAAAACATAAAATACATCATAACTTTTCCGATGACCCAATAATTAAAAAAACAAAAACAAAAACAAACCCAAGTCTGTATTCAGAGAAAGAAGCTGCTGTGGGACCAGCAGTTAGCATAATGGCTATGTCGCTGGATTCCCACGTAGTTGACCGTGGTTCACGTCCCGGACCCGGTGGCTTAAAACGCACACCGGGTGCGTGTACGTACGTGCCCAAGATCCCGAGAGGAGAATGGAGGAGAAAGGATTGTGGCATGGCCATCCCCCCTGGGGGGTGATTTCTCGCTTTCTGTCTCTCTGTCTCTCTCTGTCTAGTGAACGCACGTGCCCTATAGCAAAAACCTCTCCAAAAAAAAAAGAAGCTGCTTTCTTATTGAGTTCTTTTTCCATCATGAGTAATAAATTCATTCTTGAATATTACCTGCGTTATTCCAGCACTCTGAGTGGCCAGTCCCAAGCTGGACTGACAGCACTGGCTTGTGCTACCCTTCACAGGTGCAAGTCAGCAGGTTCCATGTGCTTCTCAGATGCTCCTCCCCCAGGGAGGGCCCAGAAACTCCAGTCGGCACATAGGCAAAAAGATGGCAGACTGATGCGCTGAGAAGACGCTTCTTAGCAATAAAAAACCCTAGCTTGGGGTCAGACATAGGCCTAGCAGTAAAACTCAATGCTCAGCAAGGAATCCTAAATGTGAAGCTTCCCAGGTTGGGTCCAGAGACCTGAGGACACTGGGAATGTGCATGTTCAAGATCCAGGCTGGCTGTGGATGGGGTGGAGTAGAGTCAAGACCTTATTGGAAGTGCTGACTTGCTCTCTCTCTTCCTCATGGAAGAAATGCATAAACATACTTTAAAAAAAGAAAGAAAGAAAGAAAAAGAAAGAAGGAAGCCTATCTTATATACAAAAAAATAGAGAAAACAATGCTTACCAGTTGTTCCTCCTCCAGGCTGGGAGTCAGCTGAAATGATTCCAGGATATCTCAGGCACCGGAAATCCAACCCATATCGGTAATAATAATACTGTGAAAAAGAGAAAACTCATCAAAAAAAAAAAAAAAACTTATTCTGAAATATCATTCTGTGTGGTTATATTAAAATACTCATACAGGTAATGAAGACTTTAGCATGTCTAAGAGTTGCTCATTTTTCTTTAATAAACAACTCTGAATGTTTATCTTCAAAGAATCACCATTTTAGTAATGCATTAACCTTGCAAATACTCAATCAATCTCCAGGCCAGCTGTGGCCTGGTGGTTAAGGTAGTCAGATCCCAGATAGTCAAATGTGTGGTTCAAGTCCTGGACCCAGCAGTATTGGAAACAATATCAAGCGTGTGTGTAAAAGAGAAAGGGATAAAAAAAAAATGGAGTGTGGTGTGACTATGCCCCTTGGGAGAGGGCTGAGCTCTCAGTTTCCATTTCTGTCTTTCTAGTGAGCCTATGTGCCCTCCAGAAGGGATTTCCAAGTTTTCCTTAGAAAGGATGCCCTGCATAGCACAATTCTGCACAATCCTGCATGATCCCACTGCCGGGACTCACTCAGCAGAACATGTTTTTTGAGTGGGGTGGGGACTATGGATTAGAAATAAACATAAAAATAAACACACAAAGAAATGTAAGTATAGAAAAGCGACGATCAGATGGGCCTGACTTCTCTGATGGAGACAACCACAGATCCCTAACCATTCTCAGGTTTATTCTTTAAAGGACAGAAAGTGGGGGACGGGGAAATAGAATGCAAAGCCAGTTGTTTTGGGATCTTAGTTGGCTGAAAATGCAAAGACAACTGGTGCCATGTAGTTTTTGATTTTTGGGGGGATCATTTTTGATAAATGCATATGGCTTGGCCACTCTCCACATCCCACACCACAGTACCAGGAAGTCTGGAGGGAAGAGCAGTGGATGAGAGAGCAAAGAATGGGGTAGTCAGCTGAAGAACTGGATGCTAATAGTCACCATAAAGTTATAAAGGCAAAGACTGTGAAAGAATGAAAAAAAGCAAAAGCAGGGACCAACAGATGGTGCAATGGCTACATTTCTGGACTCCTACATGGTTGATCATGGTTCGAGTCCTGGACCTAGTAGCCTGAAACTCATGGTGGGTGCATGGGTACATGCCCAAGATCCTGGGTAGAGAATGGAGAAGGGATTTTGGCATGGCCATTCCCCCTGGGGGTGATTTCGCACTTTCTGCGTCTTTGGCAAGCACACACGCCCTATAGCAAAAATTTGTCTTAAAACAAAACAAAAAAATGCTAAAGCAGTTTGAAGTTTTCCATAATGAAAAGTTTTAAGGTTACCATTAACCTTAAAACACCGGGAGGCTGAGGGACAGTGCAGTATAACCGGATGGCAAATTGGAAGACGAGCCCTGCCTGGTGCAAAGCATTCCCGTGTGGCTGGGGGGAATTCACCACAAGGCCATGGAAAGGCAGCCAGCCAGCAAAGGAGCTCTTCAGGAGCTATGGATACCTGCCACTTGGTACATAGTAAGTTACTGAGAGTCTCTGGGGTTTGGCACAGGGAGAGGGAAAACTCCAGTTCTTCCATGCATGGATCAGGAAGTGTTTGAGGCAAAAGGAACAGAGAAGGAAACGCCAACTTGTTTTGCCCTGGGTCCATTCAGCCATCTCGTCACATCATGCTTACTTCTCCCATGAGCTCCGCGTGGACCTTGGACACCCCATAGATGGTCCTGGGTCTCTGAATACAGAGATCAGGGGTTGGATTCCGAGGAGAGGTAGGTCCAAAAGCCCCGATCGTACTGGGCACAAACAACCTCAGGTTGTGTTCTGCTGCAACGTCCAGAATATTATGCAATCCTGAAATGAACAGACATTATCATAAAGTGGAAAAAAAAAAAATCTCTTCTTACCAAGGAACTGGGCAAACAGGCGAGTAAATCATCCTGGGCTGGAGCTCGATACTTGCCTGTTATGTTCACAGCTCTCGCTAAGGACACGTTTGCTTCTCCGACAGCACTGAGCAAAGCACTGTAATGAAACAGCCAGGTGATGCGGTTGTTGACCACGATCTCACGAAGACTCTTATAATCCAAGATATCAGAATAAATAAATGGGCCTATGAGGAATACAAAATGAAAACACAGTCGTGAAAAAGTTTGTGGTTTGAGCTAAATGGACCTTTCCTGCCAGCCCTGTTGACTTGGAAATTTTAGTAGCATCAATTCAGCACTGATAATTGGACCTGAGACAGGGAGATTGGGCTGGCACCGTGTAGCAATTTTCCTATGAAAGCAATTTTCCTATTGCCACTCCATGGGCAATAGCTGATCCTTCTGCTGTTGTCCGCGCCAAGCAGAGTTCCAGAGGCTCTGCATATATTTCACTCTCATGCAACCCTGGAGCTAGATATATTTTACTAAAAAGGAGACTGAGTGAGGCCCAGAGAAGTCAGCAACTTGCCAGGATCAAACATAAAACGAGTGGAACAACTGAGGTCACAAGCAGGTCTCTAGCTCCAGTAGGTGCTAGAAACAACAACTCTATGTACAGCAAATTTCTTCTGCTTAAAAGTTGCATTTTTCTGGGACCAGCAGATGGTGTAATGGTTATGGCACTGGATTCCCACGCAGTGGTTTGTGGTTTGAGTCCTGGACCCAAGGACTTAAAATGCTGGGTGTATGTGCCCCAAATCCTGAGATGAGAGTGGAGAAGAAGGGATTGCAGCATGGCCATGCCCCCTGGGGGATGATTTCTCACTTTCTGTCTCTCTGTCTCTCCGGCAAATGCACACGCACTAAAAAAAAAAAAAAAAAAAAAAAAAAAAAAAAAAAAAAAAAAAAGTTGCCTTTTTTTGGGGGGGAAGGAGGTGGCTATAGAGCATGTGTGCTTGCCAGAGAGAGAACAAGAAGGAAAATGACAGAGAAGGAAGAAGGCTTTATCCCAATCCTTTCTCTTCTACTGTCTTTTGAACTTTGGGGCATGCGCATACATGTGCTGGTGTGTTTTTCAACTCAGAAACATGCCGTCGTCCAGGTGAAATCCAACTGACTTAACTTTCACACTATCTGCTGGGCCCCCAAATTACAAGATATTTTTAAGTGACATAACTTAACCTGGTTAAGACCTTTTGCACATACTGATTCCATGAGCTGCTTCTATAAAAGAAAAGCAAGTTCTATCAGTCTCTTACCACTATGGAAGACATGATCAGGGGGTTTTCTTATGTCAGACAAAATCACATTGTCCTTCCCAAACCGTTTCCTAAAGGGAAAAAATCAAAATCAAAGCACACAATGCAATGAGTCCTATAAAACACCTTTTAAGATAGGAACTATAGGGGCCGGCAGGTGGCGTGATGGTAAAAGGTGCTGGATTCCCACATGGCTGACCATGGTTCAAGTCCGGGACCTGGCAGCTTGCTTTCTTGCTTTCCTCTTCTCTCTGTCTCTCTCTGGTCAAATTTAAAAATAATAACAACAAGTGGAATTAAATAAATTATTATTATTACCATGCCACCTGCTGCCCTAATAATTTTTTTTAAAAAAGTAGGAACTGTAATTTCTTGTCAGCCTCCCAATCATTCCTTCCTCTTCATTCTCAACACACACACCTTTGGTCCTTGCCTCTGTTATACTTGGGCCTCTCTTTCCTCTGTTTTCCTTGGGCCTCTCTTCCCCTACCCATGGCCTGTCTTCTGTTTCTACTCTTTCTCCATTGTCAAACCTGTTGTCACTAACAGTTTTTACCTTTCCTGCCTCATCTGTCCCTGTCTTTTCTTTTGATCTCACTCTCTCTAGATCCTACTCTGTTCCTTTCCAAGTTCTGCACACACTACCCTCAACCCCCAAACAACTAAAGTGATTTCATTGGATCACTTTGCCTAGGTTATGACAAAGAGAACATAAAGGACCTGGGTAAAAACATTAAGTCAAAACTCTGCAATAAGTCTGTGTTATTCACAGGCAAAATGAAATGTATTTTAAATAGTTACTTAGATGTGATATCTCAAAAATGGTAAGGGCCAAGAAGAGAGAGAAAGGATGGCTAAGGGTCATTAAAGACAAGCTTTACATCCTTACCTCAATTTCAAATTTCAAGTTTTTAGGGCACTCACCTCAGAAGGTTAGCAAGCCCTACTCCCAGCTGGCCGAGACCCCCTAAAATAATAAAGAAAAAGTGAAAATTAATTCAAATCTAACCAGTTCAATTATTCTCAAAATGTAATAACCAAGTATAATTAGTTTTCAATCTTAGCTAATTAGAAAAAGTCCTAGATTGAGTTGATATAATTGCTGCTCATCTCTCTTCTCAGCAACATGGTATAGCCTTAGAACATGGAATAACCTCCTCCAAACCAGGATAGTTGAAAAAAGGGCAGATAACTGAACCAACAAGGAGCAATGAAGGGAGTTAATAATGAATAGCATAGCTCCCACATTTAAAGGCTTAAGGATGTCACTGATAGAAATGAGAGAGCCAGGGGTTAGGAGCACATTATTGAGAGTACAACAGTAAATTTCATCTGGGAGAAAGTAATGATGCAGGAAGATATATTGTAAAAATGGGATTTCCTGTAAGCATATGTCAACATAAGACTAAAACCAGAATACTGTAGAAGATGCTTAATTTGTAGAAGTGGAAGGAATAAAACATAGATAGCAAGAAGGACTAATAAAGAGAAAGGCACAGAATGGAACCAACTAAGTTTGAAACCTATATAAAGATTGGGAAGAGGAAGAAGCAGTAAAAAAAGCACTAATGTGAGGAAAGTGAGGATAATGATGTAAAACCAAGGGAAGAAAATCTGGCAAGGAGAAGGAAATAAAACAGGTCAATCAAATTAGAGGTGGACTTGGGTGGGATGCAAGCCCCTGGCAAGTGACAGAGTCATGTCTGGAGTGAGGAGGGTATAGAATCGGGTGTGTATTCAAGGCAAGGAAGATCAGGTAACTCAATGGTGATGATGAGCTCAATGGCGATGCTGAGCTTAATGGCAACAAATTCCTTGGGCAGGTGCTAACTTATCTTCTCTATTGTCAGCACTACAAATAAGCAATAACTGAGATTAGGTTGAAGAGTGTGGTCAACGTGGGGGGGGGGGCTCACGCCCCCCTCCCCTGCGCAGCCTGCGCCAGGAACGGCCTGGCCGGTGCCCCCCCCACTCTGGGGGGTGGCCACGCGGCCGGGGGGCCTCCCTGCCCCTCCCTGCCTCTCTGGCCCGGGATGGCCCGGAGGCCGAAAACAAGGTTGAAGAACTTGCAACTTAAGAAGATGATAGTTACCAGCCCTGCATTACCTCAGGGGAAAACAAGAACTACTCTGCCATTTTTAAGGAAGCCAGATACCCAAGGACAACTCACACTGCAGACCCCCACAACACCATTCCTGGTAACTACAAGATGACTGCTGTGCCGCATCAGCTGATAATTATCCCTGTGTACCAGAACTGCTTTCCTGAAACTGCATTCCTTGGAGACTCACCTACACTTGTGGATCTGCCGGAGACCCTTCCTTATCCAACCCTGAGTGGAGTTTATGCTCCCTATTACCAAAAACTTTATGAGCTGATGGTTGGAACTTGTGGCCTCTCTCCCTTTACTTGTATGTATCACTTTTTCAGTAACTCTTCTGGAAGACAACTGTATATAGCAGGGATATTGTAATGGGAGAGTGAGACAAGGCAGTCGAATACCAGACAAAGGTAGCTTGAGAAACATGCCAGCAGTGTGTGCTCACGTTCTCAAAATCCCAAAAGGAGGGAGAGAGAGAGGAGAAGGGATTGTAGTGTGACCCTTCCCCTTGGGAGGTGCTTTCTCCTATCTCACTCTGTCTCCCTGTCTCTCTCTGGCAAATGCATATGCCCTTTTGCACAAACAAACAAACAAAAAAATCCTTCTTAGGAATAGTCTCCTTTTTATGATGTGCTTCCTTTTTGGGATTAGTCTTCATCTATTCATATGAATCAGACAGATACAGATTAATCACTAAAACTTCATTCTTCATTTCTTTCTTTTCATTATTATTTCAGTACCGCAAGTCTGACTTTGATTTCTCTTCAGTAAACTAAACAGAAAATTCTGCCTTCCTAGAGCTTGAAATCTAGAAGAGGTAGTTATGCTTAATTAAAGCACATAATTGATGTCAAAAGGAGGAAAAAATAAAGCCGGTTCAGGGAGTTAGGAAGTGATGAGAGGAGCAGCTATTTTATTGGTTAGTTATGGGAAGTTTGTTTGAGAAAGTGACATTTTAATAAAGACCTGAAAGATAGTCACATGACTGTCAGGGTAAAGGTGTTTAAGATTGAACAAAAAACATGAAGCCCTGAAATAAGGCTATGTCTGGCTTCTAACTGGTTCAAGGAATTGCAGAGGGGCCACTACGGCTCGAATAGAGTGAGCAAAAGGCAGGGAAGCAGGAAT